GGGGGGGGCATCAGCGGGCAGCGGAGGCGTCGCAACGTGGCACACCCATATATAGATCAGCATGTACGGCACACTGCTAATAAATTGTCGTGACGGGTACATCATGATGATGGACGCGGGTGCCTTTGACCTACTCTCCTCTCCGTCAGACTTATAATCTCCGCGGCAGCTCCCGGCGCACGAAGTGCTTTTACGAGTCGCCAATCATACATTATAAACATTCCGTCAGTCAGTCGGTCGGTCGGACAGTCCGTGTCCGTCCGCCGGTGTTTCGCCTTCGACGGAATGAGAAAATCTGTCGCACAATGTCGGGGTTCTCTCTCTCCTCCGGGGGCGACCGACCCTCTTTCTTTCCCAGGACGCCGTGGCCGCCGCCGCCGCCGTCTGCAGGGTGGTACAGTCCCCACCGAGAGTGGCTGGCCGCGGCCGCCACGCTCCGCCGGCTGCAAGCGCGCCGCGCACCTGGCCCGCGCGCGGACTGTACTCGCGCGGCGGCGCGGAGCAGCGCGGAGCTGGTCTCCCTCCCCGTGCCGCTCGCCTCGCACCCCATGTGACCCTCCCCCCTCCCCTCCCCGCCCGCTCCGCCCCTGCGCCGCCACGCTCCGCCACGCCGCGCACCGCCGCGCCCACCTGGCGAGGCTGCTCGACGCGGGGCGACGCTCCTGCTCGCGGTAACCAGCGTCGCAGCGTCGTCATCGGCGTCGCCGCCGCGTCGTCCCGAGGAGGGTAGTTTTGAAGAAACGGGGCAAAGCCTCGCGGTCCTCGCCACATTTCTCTTGAAACGCGTTTCTCGATGATTTCCGTCTCTTCCACGTTCACCGCGCGTTTACCCCCTGGGTGGGAAGCCCGCGCCTTTCTCCCGCCAAACACGGCGCCGCGCCCGATCGGCGGCTTGTAGCTATGGCCGACGTGGCCGTCCACTGCTTGCAGCAAACTATACTGCACAAAACACACCCAAAATACCTCGCTATATTTTTCCACCGAGCGAGGTGGGTCCGGCGAGGGGGTGCGTATTGTCTGAGAGTCGTGGAACGGTACTCCGGCCATAAGCTGCATCCCCGTCTCGTCGCCGCCTGTTTTTGGCGGAGACCCGGA